AGGTACTACGTGTGCAAGCCCACGACGGGTCAGTGGAGGCGCTTGCCTACTCCGCCTAGGCCTTTGCCGAGCGATGCTTGTACTTCCATTATGGTGGTGAGGTCGGACTCAAGCCCCAAGTTGCGGTACAAGATTGTTCATTTCGCCGGTATCTTTGTTGAAAAGTAGGTGTCTAATATTAGACTGAAAGATAATTGTGAATATTGTTTCTGTTTATATTATTATTGTGAATATTGTTTCTGTTTATATTTTATAACTTAAACAACTATTTGTTTTATATGATTAGGTATCGAGGGGAGAACTTCTCGTCATCCGAGTGTTTCCTATTCGACTCGGACGATTGGAGATGGCGGAGAATCGAGAATGTCCGCGTGGCGTATGGTGAGTTTGTTGGTTTCTGGCCAGCCGTCACGGCGGCCGGCTCAATCTACTGGCTCACAACCCAAGACAACGTGCTCGAGTTTCGCGAGGCAGACGAGTCCTTCCGGAAGTTTTCCCTACCGAGCCTCGAACGGGACTACAAGGAATATGAGGCAAAGCAACTTGTGGAGTACCGAGGTGGATTAGGGTTCGTGTGCTTGAGGAAAAACGACGATTCTCTCGAGCTGTGGGTGAAAGAGCTCGACTCTTCTAGTGGGGCCCGGTGGAGGAAGGAGATGGAGGTGGATATTGGACGGGTCGAAATGTACGAGTTTAAGTTTGAGTTCTGCAATGCCGGGATCTTGTTCATGAAAGCGTTTTTGGAGGCCGTTTTTTATAATGTCGAGGACTTGAGTATGAGTCGGGTGAGACTCAAACGAGCGTCCAACCCAATCTCGATTATTCAGTTCCGGGCAGATTTTGAACCTGTTGAACTTGGCGGAAGGAGAAGGCCGACACGAAAGGGTGCACATGCATTATTAGATGTATAGCTTTAAGATTCCTTTGTCGTACATAAAAAAATATCGATCGACTGCAATTTCCATTTATCCATTTATCGACTGTTCTACTTCGTTGGGAACTCGACATGCATACGTGTTCGCCATACAAACACGCGATTGATTGTTGCAAGATAGAACATAATCTTTCACAGTTTTCTGCTCATTCATAAAAGACATACATGCAAATTGTAGAATATATTCAGATTGTAATCTGCAACTAATGCAGAAATGCGCAAAAACGACATTTAGAAAAACACACAGAGCAAACTCAATCCCGGGATCTTAAATACCAGATAATAATGATCACATAATCTTTAACTTCGACAATTCAACGCAGTCTTTCAAGAAAGGAAGAAAAATGATACATGGGGGCAATCAGATTAGTGTTCGAAACAATCTCCAATGCAAATAAAGCCAAATTTCCACAAGCATTTTATCCTAAATGTTCATTTGAGATTTTCCCCAAAACAACAAAAAAAGAGTCTTGAAACCTAGAGAATGCCTCCCCTGAGAGCAAGGACCAGGTGAAGAACAGAGCCACCTTCAATGTTGTAGTCTTTTGCCGTTTTATCATCTGCAAGCTGCTTCCCAGCATATATGAGCCTAACCAGAAAATAAAAATAAAAAATTAAAAAAAATAATAATAAAGAAAGAAAGAGGGAGAAAAAGAGTCATTTCATAGTCTGAATATACTCGATATAGGAAACTAAGTTTTAAAAATTGAATTTTATAACAAATGAGCTCGGATCTGCAATACCTCTGATTCTTGGATGAAGATAAATGGCACATGGACTATATAGATTCCAATCTAAGAATATAAAATGTAACCCATTGAATTCTTGATTGCTTATTTCACGAGACATATGTAGATGAAATGCAACCGACAAGTTCAACGAAAACATGTACCGAACACAGACCAGTATTTTATTTTATTTTATTTAAAAATAAACAGGCAATAACTTCACTTTCAATTACAAAAATCGAACAGAAGAATCACAAAGCACAAGCGACATCTTCACGAGCCCGCATAACAATGGAGAAAATTAATAGGCAAGAGAATAATTCAAATACTTAACAATGTGGGAGAGGGAAAGAAAGAAACCTTTGCTGCACAGGAGGAATGCCTTCTTTCTCCTCAACACGCTCCTTAATCCGGTCAATGGTATCAGTTGGCTCGATATCAATCTCGATTTCCTTTCCTGTAAGGGTTTTCACCTTGATCATTGTTCCTCCCCTGAGCCTCAGAACAAGGTGAAGTGTTGATTCTTTTTGGATATTGTAATCTGCCAGAGTACGGCCATCTTCCAGCTGTTTGCCGGCGAATATCAGCCTCTGCTGGTCAGGAGGTATACCTTCCTTGTCCTGGGAGAATTAATTGTTAAAAAAAAAAAGGAAAATGGTAAGTTCAAAACATGTCAATCAATACATTTAACATACCCTGCGAAAAATACATAAGCCCACGTGTAAAAGACGGCAAAAACATCTATAAAAGCTTACTATGAAATTCATTAATGGAAGCACTTTGCAAGTAAATACGACAAAAATGGAATTTTATAATTTCACACAGAAGCCATCAAGATATCTAAACATACCCTGCGAAAAATACACTAGATTGTAAAGACATCAAAGACACTATGATGCAGACCCTAGTAAGATATTGTCCGCTTTGGGCTACTTCCGCCACCCGCACGGCTTTGTTCTTGGCTGGGCTTCAATACACACCTACCAAAACGCGTCTTACTAGTGAAGGTACCCACACCCTCATATAAGGCCTGCTTCGTTTCCTTTCAAACCCGATGTGGGATGCGCTGCATCACACTAATAGAAACTCGCTAGCAAACTCGTTAATGGAAGCACTTTGCAAGAAAGTATCCAACACAACAGATTCTTATACGAAAAAATGGAATTTCATGGTTTC